CACGCTGTGCGTGTGTCGCAGCACAGCAAAGCACCTGTGTGGCTGAAGTGGGCTTCACAAAACCGAAGTAATTCCCCCTCGTCGACTGAGCGCAGCTGGTCGAGCACCGTGTCCCCAGGCCAACAACATTTCAAGGGAGAACCCTGTAAAATCGTGACCAAAACCACCAAAAACATGTCCACAAAATGTAGCGCCGTGAGCCATGTCTGTAATGCTGTCCCAAGTTAGCTAGCACGATAGCCTAACTAGCTAGCACGCTAAACTGACCAGTTCGCTACTCTTCAGTGTTCACAACTCAAACACAAACTTGACCGAAGGCTCAACAGCAACGTAGAGCATTAATTAAACATATACCCTACCCCAATGGCTCCCGTCCATGAAGTTCCTCTCCTCAGGTGAAACGCTACCGTCCTTGTTCAGGTTCTGATGTTCCGTCGTCTCGTTGAAGAAAGGAGCGCGAAATCTCCTCTGACGTCACCCCCTGAGTACGCGCTATAGGTTGCCAGGTTTTACTCGTATTACCCAAGTACATTTTACTTTGTTGTGTAAGGTAGTGCATTCAATACAGTAGTTTAGTAGATATTACTTAGTGTGAATTATTAAAATGTACTTATAAAAATGAGGATACATAATTACAAACAAACACCAAGTAACACATTAAATAAAAGGTGATATTTTAAAGTAAAAGCACTGGAATGATAATTTCTTGTAAAATTTACAAAAATAATCGAGGTAATAATTACAGGGCCAAAAAGTCTTTTTTCAGTGCAGCACACTTATTGAAACTGACTGACGCTCTCTCTGTTAAACGGTGTTAATTGACACATAGTCATTTTATTTCCCTCGGGGAATAATTATGTTGACAGCCACCGACAGGTATAAATGTGCAGTGCAATAAAAACATGCTTTACAAAGCTCACATCACTGCTGTACTGTGTGTGGTTGTTTTAATTAGTTTAACACTGATATCGCCTCTAAATCCCCCCCCCCCCCCCACACACACACACACACAGAGTGTGGCAAGGATGAAGCAACATGGTATGTCTTTTTTAATCACCTTCCTCTTCCCTCTATCACTCAGCGAGGGAAGCGCTCGGAGCAGCAGCCTCCTTTTCCACTCCAGTAGAATCCATCACTGCTGCAACCGAGGGCCAGGACCCAGCAGCATGGCGGCAGCTGAGACCGGGGCAGAGAGGGAACAGGCAAGCGGCTAGCGGTGAAAAGCAAGCAGCAGCCGCAGGAGGACGGAGATGGATGAACAGTACTCCACAGGATCAATCAGGTTCTCCTAGCCACAGCAGATAATCTAACGTGCTGCACCAACTCGCCCCCACCCCCCATAAACCACATCAACCCACAGCCTAAATGGCATCTTTTTTTACCAGGTAAATAGAGAGAAGCAGACCGAGAAACAAAAAAAAATGGACGACGTAGGAAACACGATAGGGAAGCTGAGCTGGTGAGGAAGCAATTTAGAGAGAGAAGGGGGGGGGGTTTGTAGGAAGATTTATTGATTGTTTTCACTAGGGTATAATTGCAATTAAGGGTTACAAACCGCCCAGTGGATCAGTTTCGCTGCTGTCACCCAGCAGGACACATGGCAACGCTGATGCAGCCTCACACATTTTCCTCGGACAGCAGCGAAAAGTGCTAATGCACTGTCTGTCCCTGTGGACTGAGTGTAGATTAGTGACATGGTGTGCAGTCATTTAGCGCTGACATTTCTCACTCACACACTGCATATACACAACATATTTTAATGACAAATTACACCACTGACGGAGAGTACTTTTTGGATTTGAGATGAGATGCTGATTAAGAAAAGTGCTTTTCGAGAGATTCTTGCCCTCATGTTAACCTCCGAATGTTCTGATTAAACTTTTGTTCTTGTCATCTTTCTCTAATGTTGAATTCGCTGAACGCTGAATTACACAACCTTGCCTCATATTTATTGTCTGCAGACATTCCGTCTCTGTGGGTTCATTTGGTGAACAGTTCAAATGTTCATCAAGTTCAAGAGAAGGCAGAGGACAAAATGATTTTGTCTCAGAATTTGGGTTGTTTTCTTAGAAAATCTACAACTCTTTGAAAGCGACCAAAATAACAATGCAGAGGTCTTGTTAGAAACAGCTGGCTTCATGAAAATGTCCACTTTGTTGAACTAAGGCCACTGTTTTAAAGCCTTTAGAATTATCACTCTACAAATCAAAAACGTGTGTAGCTTACAGATATCTAATAAGGGTCCGGGCAGATGTGTTGACCGCTTGTTCTGCTGCCCCCAAATGGCCAAAAAAATAAATAAACAAACACTGCTTTTTTTAAGGTGCACTCACTTGCCTCACAGCATCACTTACAATGGAATAAATTACTTTACTAAAAGCAATGGTGGTTTCTAACCTAATGGGGTTCAAATCTTTTAGCTTCATGGCAGTTTGAGCTTTTCAAATAGCGTCACATTGGCATAATCAACAGTTACTCTCTGATAACCCTGCCTGACTTCCTATCACAGAACCAATCAGTGCATCCCATTAATTTTTTTTGGAACCTCAATTTCCTGCCCTTGTGCATGAGACATCTTTATGGGAACCAAATCGACTATTCATTAACGAGGGGAAGCTGTATCAAGAGCAAACATCTTTAATTAACACATCCCCAGCACTTCCTGTCTTTGATCTCCCCCCTATTTGATTTATGCCTCTGCAAGTAGAAGGTTGGGGTGGTGGAGGGGTGCTCGAGGAGTTCGGAGGGGAACAAGATGCTCTATGAGAAAAAAAAAGCTAAATTGTGGAGCCCCCGTTGATCAGGAAGTGTTGCTGCATTAGGACCTTTTCCCTGTGTTTCATGGGGCCAGCTCAATTACCAGTCAGCGTGGCTATCTCTTTAATAGCATGATAAGGCAATAATCCAAAATCCATACAGTTTTAATGACTTTCTGTCAAATTAAGGACTGTTTTACAAAAGACAGACACATCAGAGGCCTTCTCATTGTCCAGAAACTATATTGTTGGAAATATCAGCATGACCAGTAAATGAGTTTTAAAAAGTATTAATATATATATTTTAGCGACTTACTGTGCATAAATCATCAAGTAATCCATCTACGATACAACTGTTCAATGTCAAAGAGTTTAGAGCGAAGTAGAGGAGAGAAATCCTCTTCGACTCAGTTCTCACACTGGATTTACACGAGTCCTGTTGGGAATGTAGACTTTGGCTGTTTAGTATTACACCAACATCTGTATTTACAATGGAATATGAAGATTTGGGTGTTGAATCCCAGGACTACATGTCGTCTGTCTGTCTGCTGTGAAATAGAGGAGATTATGTGTTTCTAACCCTATATGACCAAGTAGAGATCCGGTGTGTATGTTAAGTCTTTAGCCCCATCTAGTGTCGGGACACTTGTCAGAGTCCTCATGTACAGTCAAAATGATCTGACATGTCTGTAATCTAATCACACACTGCTCTATATTTTATAAATAAATGGAAAAGGACTGAAATCATCTCAATGTTTCAACAGTTCTAGGTCTTTTATATAGTAACTAATGGGTAAATAAATAAACAGTCATCAGTCACAACCCGGTTCCTAGGGTTCCTAGGGTTCCAAATACGGACGAGACACAAGGGATAGTGGTGCCGTAAAGTATTTATTTTAACTAAATAAAGAAGTAATTACCTTTGTGGAGTGTGTCAGTCAGTAACATCAGTGATGTGAACGTGGATGCGTGTGTGATGAAGTGTGGGGTGTTGTCAGTGAAACCAAAGGAGACCGAGACAGAGACCGAAACCAAAATATAACCGGCAGCCACTGGCAGAGATCACTCCACGTACGCCGGAGAAAGACCAGGGCAGAGCGACACTGGAGCAGGGCTTTTATGCTCCAGGACCAGGTGCTCTGGATCAGGTAATCAGCCACGACTGCTGTTAGTGGCCGGCCCGTCACAACTGAATATAACCACAGCAAATGTCTTCCATAGATTGAAACTGAAACCCACCACTCCCTCAATTATATACACAATCACTTTACGTTTCTGACTCTAAAAAGTATTTGCTAAAACAAACATACAGAATGACCTGTTTTAGAAATATAGTAGGATATAATCATGTTGTTGTTTCTGTGATGTGGTCAGGCATCATGGTTAGATTTAGACATTATATTATTATTAGGACTTTGATAAACACTACACTAATAGACAAAAACATCTACAGTATTCAGTTGAAGTCACTGAATGACGCAAGAAAAACTTGTAATTTAACAAGACCCCCCCCCATTTTACATTTATTGTGTGCTATTACAAATTGCTTGTAGTGTACAATTTACTATTTTTATTTATTCCCTCTCAGACAGCCACTTGGGACAGAAAGAGAAAGCCCAAAAACATGTTTCCCCATACTTCATAATTCATGCTGGTTCAAAAAGGGTATGTGTGTGATGTAAATATTCTCAAGAACTTGCACTCCATTACATCAGCCAATTCATTTTAACATTTCATATTGGAGATTGGCCGAAATGAACTTTTTCAGTTTTGTGTATATCATTTGAAATACATTGAAAGTCTACTTCTATAACTTTGAGTGAGAATACAAAGGTATCACACAATATTTTCTCAGAAGAAATTGTGATGTTTGCCTTTATATCAGTTATATCGGTTCATGCAACCATAAGGTCAGCCAGTCATCACTACACTTCTACCCTTTAGGCTAAATTTCTGACAAAAAATATCTGTTTTATTTTCCCATAAACAGTGTCCAAAAGTAGATGTGGTGGACTTTATCAAACATGATGAATAGGGTTCACCCTTCTAAGTCTTTGAATCACTCTGACTCATGTCATCCAGTGATACACTTGTGAGCCCATGTGTCTCTTTTCTACTGGTCAAACTAGGAGGTGTGTGGTTACCGACTGTGATAACAGCGTGTGAGACCAACCACAGCTGCGTACCAGTTTTTTCTCCAGTATTTGTGGACAGAACAACCACACTTTTCTAGACCAACTGAAGATCAAGCCAGGGTATAAAACACACCAGAGGATTATTCATTCCCTGAGAAAACGTCCTGGCGCACTGCAGACATGTTTAGGCTTCTGGTGTTGACAACTATCGCAGCCCTGGGTAAGAAGATGACAGCACACACCGACTGCGCTGTACAAAAAGAGATCAATAATTAATGGTTTTTCATTATTGATCTCTTTCTGTCTCATTCACTCTCTTAATCTGTCAGTCAGTCACAGTCTCTGTCATTCATCCAGTCAGTCACTTTTTTCTTTTTTAGCTTAGCTCCACCACTTGCCCTCATTTCTCCTTTCCTCTTTCTGTAGGTGGAAAGCAAACTGTATGAGGCTTCCAGGAAACCATGAATATTGTGCCTGTATAAATCGTGCCCTCTGTTTTTATGTTTTTAACCAGCGCTGGCTGAGCTGGAGCCCCAGCCCAGGTATCTGGAGGACAGCTTTGAAAGAGTCGTGGGAGGTGAGATGGCCAAACCCAACTCCTGGCCCTGGCAGGTGATATACTTCAACACAAAATGAAAAACTAAATGCGCGGTAATATGTTAAATTAAATTGTTTTGGGGACTTACCATTACAAAGCCACCATACCAGATTCACAAATTACACGTATTAATGTTTTCACACCTACATAACACCGGTCTGCTTTCTCCCCCTTTAGATCTCTCTTCAGTACAGATCTGGCAGCAATTACTACCACACATGCGGAGGAACCCTGATTGAGAGAGGCTGGGTTATGACCGCTGCTCATTGTGTGGATAGGTAACATAGTGATTAACTCACGCACGCATACACTTTGTATTCTTTGGCTGCATGAGTTTTAGTTGCATTTGTGCGCATTTTGTGATTACTTTGACTTGAACATCCACAGCCTACTCTTATCACAGTACCGGGGGTTGATTTATTTCAGTGTTTCTAAATGTCACCAGCATGAGGGAGTTTCTTACAGCCTCATTTATAACTGTCACATACCAACGGGATTCATTTATTTTAATAGAAAGAAAGAAAAGGAATCAAAAAATAAACAAAACCAGGAGTGATTAAATGGCATGTTGTGACCTTCACTTTTTACTTCAGTTTACCGTAATAAGTACTCATTAGGCTATGCTGCCTTGTAATTAGTCATTTGAGTGACTTCTATATCTAATAATTGAATATTAATAATATTGTGTTTCTCTTTGTTTCCCTTTTTTTATATATTGCAGGCCTAGGACGTGGCGTGTCCTTCTCGGTGAACATAACTTCAACATGAACAGCGGCAGAGAGCAGATCATGACTGTCAGCCAGGTTTACATCCACCCCGGCTGGGACTCCAGCAGACTGGCCGATGGGTGAGGATTGTATTCTTTTCTTACATTCATAAATTTTTGGGATTGTCAACTTGCACATTTTTGTTGTTTTTATTTTAATATATAAAAAAAAATGTCATTGAAGAAAGTTTGAATGTTTTGAAGGTAAACAAATATCTTTTAATAAATTGTTCTGAGAATGTCACCTCAAGGAAGTGGTGGTCTAACCCCCGGACAAAATATCCTCCTCAGAAATATATAAATAATGACATATATAAATAAATAAATATATATACAGGTATATAACCTTTATTTAACTAGGAAGTCACATTGAGATTAAAACCTCTTTTAAAAGTGAGACCTACCCAAGGCAGGGTCAAATAGCAGCATCCAACACATGACAACAACATCAGATCACAGCAGCAACAATAGATATGACAAAATGCATTACATCATTAACAAGGCAGCATTGTGGTCATGCGTTTGTTAGTTAATTGAAGCAACTGCAGCTAGCAGGGACCACTTCCATTATTCCAGGTTTAAAACCATTTAAAGAGATAAGGGTCTCAAGTTTAAGCTTGGCCTGCAGATTGTTCCAGGACCTAAGACTGTAGAGAAAAAAACTTGTTTTGCCAGCTTCTGCACTGATAGGAGGCACTTATTAAGACTGAAGCCATTTGTGCGACAGAGGAATTCGACTACTTTGCAAAAATAAAAACCTCCAGCGTAAGTAAGTAGAAAGGTTTGCCTGCGATGATCATAAGGAGTGTAGTGTCTTCGCAAAAGTCTTTTTGGTTCCGCCTGTTTCACCCATGGATCCCCACCTCAGGTTCGACATTGCCCTGCTGCGTTTGACCTCTGAGGTGACCCTGAACTCCTATGTCCAGCTGGGCTCTCTGCCTCCCACGGGCCAGATTCTGCCCCACAACAACCTCTGCTACATCACCGGATGGGGTCGCATCATCAGTGAGTTGATATTGATTGATTACATAATCCCATCAGTGTCAATGCTTTTTCTGTAAAGCTCCGTGTATCTTACCTTTCCAATTTCACCTCGGTCAGCCGGCGGCGCCCTCCCCAATCTGCTGCAGCAGGCCGTCCTTCCTGTCGTCGACCACAAGACCTGCACCAGCTCTGGCTGGTGGGGCAGCACTGTCAAGACTAACATGGTGTGCGGTGGTGGTGGTGCCAAGGCTGGATGCAATGTAAGTCTCTTCCTGAGTGGACTAGAAATTAGAAAAAGTTGTACACTCAGCAACTGGAAATATTACTGTAAAGTCTTATTATAGAGTACATTTTTTGACTACTGGAGTGATTTAATAACACAAAGAAGAGAAAGAAATTCTGCATAATTGAAACCTCCTATGAAATAACTCTACCATATAATCTATATTTTATATCGACCACTGAATCATTATGCCCACAAGATTTAAGATGCTCTGTTTGACCTTGTTCCTATCAGGGTGACTCTGGTGGCCCTCTGAACTGCCTTGTTGATGGAAAATACTACGTCCACGGTGTTACCAGCTTTGTGTCTAGTTTGGGATGCAACGCGCCCAAGAAGCCCACCGTCTTCACCCGTGTCTCCGCCTACATCGACTGGATGGACTCCGTCAGTATTAGGGATATGAATATCTGTCATATTTAATGGAATAATCTATAAAAATCATTCAGGAATGCTTGAATGGGTTTTATGGAATTTAATATGATGTGTGACTGTTATTTGCTTCTTCTCTTTTCCAGACCATGATGTAAACAGACGAGTCGCCCATGTTGCAGCACACAAAGACAGAGCATGCATTCGACCACGTTTTCATCTACTGTGCTTCCTCATTTGTCTGCTCTCGTTCAACATAAAATAAAGTTCATTTAAACTTTGAGTAATGACTCATTTCTCATCAGACAGTTTACACAACCACAGTTATGTGTCATTGTGAAGGTTATTCTTTATGCTTTATGCATCAAACTATCCTCCTAGGCCTGCAACAAAACGTGTATAAAGGAACACCTAACTATACAAATTCATGAATTTATTTTACGTTGCATACAAATTATTAATCAAAGTGTGGCCACAGACTGAAAATAAATGTTCAGCACTGGAGGTTCGTAGAAACACGTTTTGTGTTTCAGTAAATCATGTGTGGTGCAACACGCCGTTAAACACTATCACTGACTGTGATAAAGTCTGAGACGGACCACAGGTGTGTTTCTGACCACTGCCAAGAACAGCAGAGGGTGCACATCAACTGAAGGTCAGCTCAGGGGTTTAAAAGAAAGAGAGGTGGATTTATAAATGTGGAGACGCTGAAGACATGCTCACATGTCTGTTCACTGTTCTCACAGCCACAGCTAAGGGATATCAAGGCTGTCCTGTAAAGAATCCACTGCTGGAAAATGCGATCATTCATTTATACAAAGGTAAAACAAACCATGTTTAAATGGTGTTTTGATAGGTTTCCTCACTGCTGGCTGAGTCGGAGCTTCAGTCCAGCTACAAGGAGAGCAGCACCGCAGGCAGAGTTGTGGGAGGTGAAGAGGTGCTTCATCACTCCTCATGGCCTTGGCAGGTCCAGCATCACATTGCAAGACAGGGCACGTTAAAACGAGAAAAAAAAAGGTTGTGTATGTGCAAGATTCTGTCTTTGCCATACAGTACAAGATGAAGCCAGAAGTACTTGGGAGATTTTAAAAGGTCAACTCATGCACTAATTCCGACAACAACCGTTCCTCAATATCTTCAGATGAATAGTTTTTTTTATAAAATACACTTATTATATTTCTTGCTGAGAGTAAGAACAGAAGATTGGTTCCACCCTTTCTGTCCATTAAATACGAAATCCACCATCTTAGCACTTCCATACTTTGGTTTTGGAAAAGAATAAACAAGGAGATCTATATAATAAAATGTAACGCGTTGGGATTTTTAAAATCTTTTAGATGCTGGCAATGCTGGCTGTTTCACGCCTTTATGCTAAGCTAAGCCAACTGGCTGCTGGCTGTAGCCTCATATACAGCAGATAAGATATAATAACTAACTCTCGGCAAGAAGAGTATTTCCCAAAATGTCGAATTATTGCTAAAAAAAAAATTGAAAAGGTGATAACTTATTGCTAGTATATTTCCTCACTATTATTAACCAAAAAAAGATTTTATGCATCTTAAAATGCATCCGTTACAATAACGTTTCAGTGTAATAAGAGTAGCGTAAAGATACTGCAGAAACAGAACTGTCCTTTAATGTTTTTAAGGTTGGAAGAAGTAACATTATGTGCATCTTACTCCAGGTTTCTCTCCAGCACTACTCTGATGGCTCCTATCATCATTTCTGTGGGGGGGGACACTGATTAGGACAGGACGGGTCATGACCGCGGCTCACTGTGTGAACAGGTAACAGATAAACCTTCTATCATTCTTATCTTATACAAGTGTTACAGTATGCCAAGACTTCCATAATGTTTTTGAGATTCTGGTTTTGTCTCGCTGCACAGCAGCTGCACAAATATGTATTTTTTACTTTCCTCCACTGTCTCTGGTTCTCACATCTCTTATATTGTTTTAACTGTGGGAACAAATAATGTAACTCAAGCTAAAACAGTTCCAGCTCTTTGCGTGTGGTCCTCTGTGATCTCGTCCTGCACTACAGCCATAACACAGAGCAATACAGGAGTGTCATCGATGTCAATGAACAATGACAGCATCTCCCCTGGGTGGGTCCATCTGTTATTGCACTCTACACGCAGAAAAATAATGTTTAAAAGCGAAGGAAGGACCCCTTGTTTGTTCCGTGAGTTGAGACAAAGGAAGAAAACTTTTTACATTCACAAAAATATTTAATTTGTCATCCATTTAATTTACTTTACATCCTCACAAGTTCATTTTCAGTTAAGTTACGAATCCGATTGAGGTCTTTGGTTAGATGAAAAGTATGCATTATAGTCAGTATAATAGAAAAATCAAGGCTTGTTTACTCCTGTGTATACTGCATTGGTTTTCATTGGTTTTCAATGTAGTCAGGTCGAGAGCGAAATTAAAGCAGATTTCAGTCCTGTGTTTTGAATTTTAGTTGTGGTTACCTTTTCTTTATATTTGGACTACATAATCTGGATTTAGGATAATGTTCTCAAAAAGATAGACAGATGTTCTGTCTTGTTACTTTTTCTATTTGCGTTTCAAAAGGCTGAGCCCTTTCCTCACACCTTTATCTCTTTACATAGTTCTTTGCTGCTTTATTAATGCTCTGAATGTTGTACATTACACTGTTAAGTATGTTTTCAGCTGGAGGCTCTAAAACAGCTAACAGAGGTAACGAGTCACTTTTTGAAAATCATGTCTATAAAAAATTCTCAGAGAAAGGTCATGAAGTTTGAAGGTGTTAAAAAAACGTGTTTTTGAGCTGTTAAAGACGACCTCTGACAGAACATGATAAGGACAGACATATCAAAATAGAAACTCATCATTTACAATCTTACACTTACAACAAATGTTTATTAATTAATTAATTAAATTGCCAAATTAAGATTGTTTTTTAAGTTAATTGATTTGGAAATAAACCGGAGTACCCGGAGAAAACCCTGTCAAGTCAGCTCCCTAAGTTTGCACTGTTAGCAATGTTAGCACCGTTAGCTATGAGCTTGCGGCTCGACGCCGACATGTTGAGAGCCGTTGAGAGGCAATCAAAAAGCTCCCAATCTTGGATCTTGAACCTTTGATTAAAGAGTCTATGTTCATTTGGACAAGTGCTTTAGGCAGGTGGCAGATTGAATGAATGACTTGGCTGTGTGCACTGCCAAAAATAAATATATATCTAATTATTTATATGAATGCCCTGGAATTAATGAAAGTGTGGGAAGGATTTAATTAAACTGAGACCACGAATAAACTTGTTGCACACAAATTAATATCTTGTGTCCACAAATGAATCAAAATGTGAAATATTTAATTAAATTAGTGGAACAAACAATATCTTGTGCTCACAAATTGGTAAATCGTGGCCACAATATATATTTATTTTCTCTTTATGGCCATTCCCTGGCTCTGTTCTAACTACAGTTTCTAAATAAATAGCACAATCATATGGCCTTACACTTTCATGCTGTTTGAATCCAGCCTATTGTGTGAAAATGCACATTCTACTCAAACATAAACACATTTTCAAGCAATTAAAGTGGTCTTTGCAACTTAAATGCTTGGTCACACTCAGAGACCGTGGGGGTGATCTCTCTTGGAATACCAGAGCACTGCATCATTGTGTATAAAGAGGTTTTTTTTTGCCAGGTGTCGTTCCAGACAACCAGAGGGAGAGAGACAGAGTCACAATGATTGTGTCAGATAAAATGCATCTAAAGTTTTAATTGCAGCGGCGCTCTTGCAAAAAAATGTCTGAATGTGTGCCGTGTCAAGCCTCTCTCTTGGGCGAGAGTTAAGTTGTCCTCAAAGCTGGTAGATAGCAGATAATGATGACCACAGTACACAGAGCATCTACAGTCAAAACTCGCTTTACTAGAACATCAAATATAACTAATCATACAGTATGCGACACTCTCATGCCTGACAGCTGTGGCCCATACAAGTGGAAAAAAAGGTATGCAGTCGCTGAGGCAGTCGCTGAGTCAGTGATTCCCCCCCCCCCCGGTCCCCACTGTGATGATAAGTGTGAGACAGACACAGATGGACATGTGTTCGTATTGAACACACACACATGCACTATCAGCATACGGGGCCTGGGGGTATAAAAGAGTGGTGGGCAGAAGTCTCCAGTGCAGAAAGTTTCAGGAGACTACAGACATGCTCAAGTTTCTTGTGTTTACCTCTCTCGCAGCCCTTGGTAAGCTCCGTCTGATTCTTCTCTGACATTCTGCACACTCTTGAACTCTTGATGTAATGCTTCCTTTGTTTGTGCTCGGCTTAGTGCTGGCTGAGCTGACTCCCGAGCCCAGGTACCTGGAGGATGACAGTGTCGAGGAGAGAGTTGTGGGAGGAGAGGTGGCCAGACCCAACTCCTGGCCCTGGCAGGTACCGGATGCTTTGTTTGACTCAGTGCTCAGACCCTTTACTTATGCGAAGGGAGCAATAACACAATGTGAAAATACGCCTGTGTTGCATACAAGTGCTAAGTATATGGAATGACCCATTTCAGGTCCTGAAAGAAGATATATATTTTTAATCTGATGCACACACGTGATGTGCAACAAGTTAAAAGAAATAAATATAATTTTTTCCTGTTGAGTTTGTGGGAAAACCCATATTAGCACATGATAGCTGTGCACAACTCCAACATGCGTTTGTTGAATCAGCAACTGAAAACATCTGTTTTTGAATACAAGGCCTTCAATCTACAATAATGTTTCATATTTATTAAGTTCGTCACATGTCTGATGTGTAAACTCAAGGAAAATATTAACTGCAGATGTTAAGTAAATGTAGTAAAAATGATTTTAAAAAGATCAGTATGTATCTAGAAAGTGTGGTGGGGTAGAAGTTTAAAGTGGTATAAATTGGAAATACTCAAGTAAAGTACAAGTGGTTCATTATTGTACATAGACCTTGAGTAAATCTATTTAGTTCATTACATCACTGCTCTATAGCAACCTTTCAAATGTAAAATTGGTCAGCACAACATATGTCCTGCATACACACGTCCAGTTACATCAGGTGCATTTAGGACTTTTGCTCGTAATGCTTTTAAGCATGTTTCAGTGTCAGGAACGCTGCCAAGAAGCATTTTGCAATAATGTGAACGCATCAGCTTCTTATAGTTGTAATGCTCTCTGTTGTTGTTTTGTTAGATCTCTCTTCAGTACAAATCCGGCAGCAGCTTCCACCACACTTGTGGAGGAAGTCTGATCAGGAGAGGATGGGTCATGACCGCCGCTCACTGTGT